TATTTTCCTGATTTCTCTTTCTGCTAGTTCATCATTAGTGTATAGGAGTGCAACAGATTTCTGTGTATTAATTTTGTATCCCACAACTTTACTGAATTCAGATATTAGATTTAGAGTTTTGGATAGGATTCTTTAGGGGTTTTTATATACAGTATCATGTCATCTGCAAACAGGGACAGTTTGACTTCTTCCTTACCAGAATGGATGCCTTTTATTTCTTTTTGTTGTCTGATTGCCATGGCTAGGGCCTCCAGAACTATGTTGAATAAAAGTGGGGAAAGTGGGCATCCTTGTCTTGTTCCCAATCTTAAAGGAAAAGCTTTCAGCTTCTCACTGTTAAGTATAATGTTGGCTGTGGGTTTGTCATATATGGCCTTCATTATGTGAGGTACTTGCCCTCTGTACCCATTTTGTTGAGAGTTATTATCATGAATGGATGTTGAATTTTTTCAAATGTTTTTCAGCATCTATGAAGATGATCATGTGGTTTTTGTCCTTTTTGTTAATGTTGTGGATGATGTTAATGGATTTTCGAATGTTGTACCATCCTTGCATCCCTGGAATGAATCCCACTTGATCATGGATGATCTTTTTGGTGTATTTTTGAATTCAGTTTGCTAATATTTTGTTGAGTATTTTTGCATCTAGGTTCATCAGGGATATTGGTCTGTAATTTTCTTTTCTTTTATTGTGGTGTCTTTGCCTGGTTTTGGTATTAGAGTGATGTTGGCCTCATAGAATGGGTTTGGGAGTATTCCCTCCTCTTCTACTTTTGGAAAACTTTATGGAGGATGGATATTAGGTCTTCACTAAATGTTTGATAAAATTCAGTGGTGAAGCCATCTGGTCCAGATGTTTTTTTCTAAGGTAGTTTTTTGATTACCAATTCAATTTCCTTCCTGGCAATTGGTCTATTCAGATTTTCTGTTTCTTCTGGGTCAGCCTTGGAAGGTTGTATTTTTCTAGAAAGTTGTCCACTTCTTCTAGGTTATCCAGTTTGTTAGCATATAATTTTTCATAGTATTCTCTCATAATTCTTTGTATTTCTGTAAGGTCTGTTGTGATTTTTCCTGTCTCATTTCTAATTCTGTTTATGTGTGTAGACTCTCTCATTTTCTTGATAAGTCTGGCTAGGGACTTATCTATTATGTTTATTTTCTCAAAGAAACAGCTTCTGCTTTCATTGATTCTTTCTATTGTTTTTTCTCAATTTTATTTATTTCTGCTCTAATCCTTATTATGTCTCTTCTTCTACTGATTTTGGACCTCATTTGTTCTTCCTTTTCTAGTTTCATTAATTGTGAGTTTTGACTGTTCATTTGAGATTGTTCTTCTTTCCTGAGATAGGCCTGTGTTGCAATATCCTTCCCTCTTAGCACGGCCTTCGCTGTATCCCACAGATTTTGTGTTGTTGAATTATTGTTGTTGTTTGTCTCCATTTATTATTTGAACTCAGTTTTTATTTGGTCATTGATCCATTGATTGTTTAGAAGCATGTTGTTAAGCCTTTGTGTGTTTGTGGGCTTTCTCATTTTCTTTGTGTAATTTATTTCTAGTTTCATACTTTGTGATCTGAGAAGCTGGTTGGCACAATATCAATCTTTTTGAATTTACAGAACCTCTTTTCGTGGCCTAGTATTGATCTATTCTTGAAAATGTTCCATGTGCACTTGAGAAGAATGTGTATCCTGTTGCTTTTGGATGAACTATTCTGTAGATGTCTGTTAGGTCCATCTGTTCTAATACATTGTTCAGTGCTTCTGTCTCTTTACTTATTTTCTGTCTTGTTGATCAGTCCTTTGGAGTGAGTGGTGTGTTGAAGTCTCCTAAAATGAATGTACTGCATTCTATTACCCCTTTTCACATATGTAGGTGATCCTGTGTTGGGTGCATAGATATTTAGAATAGTTATATCCTCTTGTTGGACTGACTCCTTTATCATTATTATCATTATGTAATATCCTTCTTTGTCTCATGTTACTTTCTTTCTTTTGAAGTCTATTTTGTCTGATACAAGTATTGCAACTCCTGCTTTTTTCTCCCTATTCGTTGCATGAAATATCTTTTTCCATCCCTTTACTTTCAGTCTGTGTATGTCTTTGGGTTTGAAGTGAGTCTCTTGTAAGCAACATATAGATGGGTCTTGCTTTTTATCCATTCTATTACTCTGTGTCTTTTGATTGGTGCATTCAGACCATTTACATTTAGGGTGATTATCAATAGGTGTGCACTTATTGCCATTACATTGCTTTAGATTCATGGTTACCAAAGGTTCAAGGGTAATTCCCTTACTACTTACTATCTAAGAGTTTAATTTAACTCACTTCATATGCTATTACAAACACAACCTAAAGGTTCTTATTTTTTTCCTCCTTTTTCTTCCTCCTCCATTCTTTATATGTTAGGTATCATATTCTGTAGTCTTTGTCTATCCCTTGATTGATTTTGGGGGTCATTGATTTGATTTTGTATCTGCTTTATAATTAATTGTCCACTTTGCTGTGGTTTTATTTCCCCTGGTGATATCTATTTAGCTTTAAGAATACTTTCATCTATAGCAGTCTGTCCAAAATGCACTATAGAGGTGGTTTGTGAGAGGTAAATTCTCTCAGCTTTTGCTTATCTGTAAATTGTTTAATCCCTCCTTCAAATTTAAATGATAACTTTTCTGGTAGAGTAGTCTTGGCTTGAGGCCCTTCTGCTTCATTGCATTAAATATAACATGCCACTCCTTTCTGGTCTGTAAGGTTTCTGTTGAGAAATCTGATGATAGCCTGATGGGTTTTCCTTTGTATGTGATCTTTTTCTCTCTCTAGCTGCTTTTGAAAGTCTGTCTTTATCCTTGATCTTTGCCATTTTAATTATTATATGTTCTTGATGTTGTCTTCCTTGGTTCTCTTGTGTTGGGAGATCTGTGCACCTCCGTGGCTTGAGAGACTACCTCCTTTCCCAGATTGGGGAAGTTTTCAGCAATTACCTCCTCAATAACACTTTCTATCCCTTTTTTCTCTCTTCTTCTTCTTCTGGTAGCCCTATAATGGAGATATTGTTCCATTTGGATTGGTCACACAGTTCTATCAATATTCTTTCATTCTTAGAGATCCTTTTTTCATTCTGTGCCTCAGCTTCTTTGTATTCCTCTTCTCTAATTTCTGTCCCATTTACCGTGGCTTCTACTACATCTAATCTGCTTTTAAATCCCTCCATTGTATGTTGCATTTCAGATATGGAATTTCTTAATGATTGAATCTCTGTCTTAAATTCATCCCTATGTTCTTGAATATTTTTCTGTACCTCCATGAGCATGTTTATGATTTTTATTTTAGACACTCTTTCAGGAAGATTGGTGAATTCAGTTTAATTTGGCCCTTTTTTTTGGCTGTGTGAGATTTTGGTCTGAATCAGGTTCATTTGACATTTCATAATTCTATGTGGTGCCCTCTAGTGCTCAGAATCTTTAGTCTCTGGAGCTGCTCAGCCCCTAGGGTGAGGTTGGAGCTTGTATGGACGTGGTGCTGGTGCCTTGGGGTAGGAAAGAGCTGTTTCCTGATTCCCAGCTGCAGTGCCTGTCTCCAGTATCAGAGCCAGTGGGCTGAGCACACAGGTGTAAGCCTCTGTGCTTGGCATCTCTAGGTGTTGTAGGCAGCACCTCCCTCCAGCTGGCCTGATGCCAGCACAGTGACTGCCGGTTTGTGAGCAGGTGCTGGCAGGCCAGGAGGAAGGTGCAGCAGGTTGCTTGTCAGAGAGGGGGGCTTCAGAGCTGAGTAAGCAGCCAGGGGGATGGGGTGCCTGAAGCTCCTCAAAGTTCCCAACCTGCTGGGCAGTGTGCGATCAGACAACCTTGTCCACCTATCCCTTCTCCCACGTAGCAACCTCCATGAAAGCCCACCCCTTCAGCAGCCCTCTCGCTGCTAGGAAGCTTCTCCGACTGCCTGCCTTTCCTTTGTTCCAGAGCAGCCAGATGTGAATCCCAGTCCTCCACAAATGGCCAGAATCTCAGTCTTTCAAGCACTCTGCCTGTCCCACCTCCCCAACCCCAGCAATCTCCAGAGCACCACATAATGTAGGTCTGTGGTCCAAAGCAGGCCTCCAGAGCTGGGTGTCCAGCAGCTCTAGGCTTCCGCCCCCTACCCACTCCATTTCTCTTCCTCCCGCTGGTGAGCTGGGGTAGGGGATAGTCTTGGGTCCCGCCAGATCAAGGCTTTCGCATGTTACCCTGTTTCGTGAGGTCTGCTCTGTTTGTAAGGTCTGTATGCAGTCTGGTGCAGCCTTCTTTCCTGTTGCTGTTTTAGGTCTAGTTGTAATAGTTATACTTTCACACTATATGTGGTTTGTCTCTGTCTCACTTCTCATGCCGCCATATTGAATTCTCCCACTTCACCTACTCTTGATGCACCTCCACGGTTCTCTGTTGCTTTGATCCGTTGGCCTAAAACTTGGTCAAACTACATTTCTAATTTCTTTTAACCAAGGTATAGGTTTATATTACGAGATGACAGAATCTTACATTTAGACATAGAACACAAAGGGTCTAAAGATCATTTGATCAAAATCTCTGATTTTAAATATTTGTGAACAATGACCTCATCCCTAGAGCACTGTAGGGGATAAGAGTCCATGTTACAAAGGAGAAGACATTATAGGTTATTCCTTAGTATTACTTAATTGGTCACAGTCTATAACTTGTCGACTCATTACCCGCTTTACACCTTTCCCTGCTCCCAAGCTATTGGTAAGCCATAATATACAGATTTCTACCCTCAGCTCTATTCCTTCTACTTGTACCCATTAGTGACTCCTTGATTTTGTATCTGGGTAGAGACTCTAATGAAAATTCTAAAAGGAATAATTGAAGTGATCTTATCTGAATTTTCTCAGATTTCTGTTATTGGATTATACTTACCTTAAATGCCAAATTTTGTTTTCTGTTTCCACATAAACATTATATTTCTGAAAAGGTTTTGAGAGAGAAGTGCTGAAGATAACTTTTTCTATTTTAGATGAGCAAGTTGTTATGGGCAACAAGCTTCTCGTATATATTAGGTAAGAGATTTTTTTTGTTTTACTCATCTGTATATATGCTCCTATAATTTTCCCCTGTATTCTTGGAAGTATTGTCATCTCCTGTCTATACAGTGCTTTTCAGTTTTCTGTGTTCTTTCTTGTGTGGCAATAGTTCTCAGCTGTGTGTGATTTTGTCCCCTATGGGTGCCCCCATCCCCCCAACATTTGGCAATATCTAGAGACATTTTTGCTTGTCACAGCTGGTGCTGGGGGAGGGATCCTGCTGGCATCTAGCAGGTAGAGGCCAAGGATGCTGCTGAGCACCCCACAGTGCACAGAACTGTCCCCACAACAAGGAGTTCATGCTCCCAAATTATCAATAGGGCTGAGGTGGAGAAAGCCTGAGGGAGAGTATTTCACTTTTACTACCAACACTCTGTGGGATAGATGTTGTCTCTATTTCATCTATAAAGGCAAGGGATGTGTTTAAATTATTAAAGAGTTGGTGACAGAGGTAAGATGAAATGTTGATCTCTGTATTCCTAGAAGAGTGTTTTCCAATAGACTGTGCAGGCTCAGGTTGTGTCCAGATAGAACTGGCTGCCAGGCAATCAGGGAGGTGGCAGAACCTGCCAGAGCACCATTTGAGCCCCCGCCTAGCATCTATGTTAACTTTGAGACCTATTTCACAGTTGCTACATTGATCTCTTCGTGTAGAAGAACATATGCAGTATTTACCTAGTAGTAGTTTATCATCTGTTCTTTAAGTCAAAGAGGTTTAAAATTCACCTCCCCCCAGAAAAAAATGAGAACATATTCAGAAGACACTTTATAATTCAGTCCACTAGGCATAAGCCATAAGGAAGTTCTGATTTGGAGGTAAAATGGCACTTAATTTCTCACCAAATTCTAATTCCCTGAAGGCTTGTTCTGTTGCAGACATTTTCCAGACAATAATCTTGCTCATTCCCCATCTCACCATTCCTAGAGCCAAAGGTTAAAAGTCTCTGAGAGCATCAGGCTCTTAACAGGTAGATTGTAGTGTAATAGTGCTGTTAAGTTTTTCTCAGTTGTGGGTATGAGATTTTTTAAAAGATAGTCTGTCCTCATTCCTACTTCCCCCTCTACCACAGCCTGGTTTTCTGAAGAAAAATAAGAAGAAATGAAATTCTTTACTCAGTCATAGGGTGTGGTATTTTACCATCCCTTTTGCCCACAGTTTCTGACCTGGTATCATCTTGATCTAGATTTACACTTGACCTAACTGCATAGCATATACATAACTGATAAAAGCTGAGCCTGCTTAAAAATTTAACTAGTAACTTGGGTTTAAGAAACCGAATTATCTGGAAGCAGTGCATTACAATTCACCAAACCTGTTCACTTTCTTTTCACCCAGCTGTTGTCTAGCAGGTCGTGCCTATCCCCTTGGTGACATCCCTGAAGATCTTGTTCCCTTGGTTAAAAACCAGGTTGGTGCTATTTTCACAGCATTTTTACTATCTATCCACCTCTTGTTAAGATGCTCTGAAGACAGTTGTAATTGTAGATTACACACGAGTGAGGAGCTATCAGCTGTGATAGGAGAAGCCTACACACCATCACTGAAGCTGATAGTTATAGCTGAGAGGTTACAGAAATTATAGTGACAATTTAAACTAAAATCCAGCCTGTCTTTATTTTATCCAAATGGGAATTGTCACTTCAGCAAGATACTTTATAAGGTGAGAAAAATGTAACTATTTTTTCAACTTTCAGGTTTTTGAATTTCTAATTCGCCTACACTCAGCAGAGGCTTCCTCAGAGGAAGAAATCTATCCCTATGTCCAGACTTTGCTACATTTCGACACAAGAGAATTTCTGAATGTCTTGGCACTGGTAAGAGATATGATTTTAAGGTATTTTAAAAGGAGCCAGGATGATAGTTTTTCTTAAATAGAAAAACAAATAATAATCCTTATGCAGGTACTGTTTTTATGCCCTAGTGATAAGTCAGGGTTTCAAATGTTTAATTTTGTTGTGCCACCATATTTTCTATTTCTTTATCTCCCTTTCTCCCCCATTTCCTTGCACCCTTCTTTCTCCATACCCTCCCTCTTTCCTTCCTTGTATGTGTATGTGTGTGTGTGTGTGTGTGTGTGTGTGTGTGTGTGTGTGTCTAACACATCATTATCAAACAGTTAAAGCAGCATTAGATGTGATGCATCTTTGATTTCATAAATTATATTAGTTGGCACACTAAATATGGACCAGGGATCTGAAGGACGTGTGGTGGTGATGGTAGTGCAGATAACAGGTTGAAATAGAACATAGACCCTTCCTGCTGGAAAAAACATCCTTATACATGTTTAATTAAAGATGGATTTGGATGAGCCAGGTTCCCTGTGAAAATGCCTCCAGTGGAATAATTATCTAAAACATCATATATCTTCCCGACTAACTGGTATTATAGTCATTTTTTAAAAAGCTTTTGAAAACAGGGATAGTATTTATATTACAGTGTTTAGTGAAGCAACAGGCTCACAAATGTATAAAATACACAAATGTATAGCATAATATTTGGAGAAAAAAGACAGAAAGGAAATAAACCTAAATATTAATAGTGATTAATTCTGTGAGATGGGGAAAATTTCTCTAATAAGCATATAGTATTTTTATAAGTTGAATAATATAATAAACAAATTTTAAAAAGTAAGTGCCCATGTGAAGGTTAAGAATCCAATTATATCATACTGTAATTTAATTTGAAAATCTGATTTTAATTGCCTAAGAAAAAAAGAAAAGAAATTTAGACTTGAAAGTCAGATCTAGTTGGTTTAGGAGACCTTAGATGTCCAGAAGAGAACATAATGGTACTTAGTATCTGGCATGTAAGAAAAAAGAAACAGGAGGTGGTGGGGCAAGAGGTTGGGAAAGACTGGTAGAGAGCAACAAAGAATTGTATCTAATTTTCATTTTTTTAAGGGCTGGGGTGGTAACGAGGAACATTTGGAATTATGTTGATGTCTGAGTCATGTTACTGTGTTTGGTAGTAAGGCTGTGATATAATCTCTCTCTCATTGCTTGACAGATGGTTTTAAGCCTAGTTTTATCACATGTAGTGTACCAACTGGGGGTGCACCCTGGGCTGGCAAGATATAATCCCTGCCTGTGTGGAGGAAGAGGATCCAGACTAGTAGAGAATAATGACAGCACAGTGTAATATACACCTCTGGAGAAGTGCAGGATGCTGTAGGAACTGAGGAGGGGTTAGGGAAGTCTTCTTGGATGAAATGATGTCTATGTTGAGTCTCAAAAAATGAGTGGAAATTAGATTAAAGTTAGGGAAAAATATTCTAGATGGAGGACAGGATGTGTATGAAGTCCTGCAAACACGACAAAGCAATATATGTTCAATGAATTAAAGAAAATCAGTATGGCCACATCTTTGAGTGTACGGAAGCCTGCAGAGAGAGACAAATCCAGAGAGGTAGGTAGAAACTGAGTCTTGTAATCTATGTTCAGAAGTTTGAACTTTATACTAGAGTTAAACAGGTAGCCATTGAAGTCATAGGTAGCGGAATATCATGATTTATAGTTTTGAAAAATTCCCTCTGACTGCCAAATGGAGAGTGGATTGAAATAAGATAAGAATGGAGATAAAAAGATCTGTTAGCACATTTTTGGTAGTAATCTAGGTAGAAGATAATGGTGGCTTGAATTAGGGCAGTAACATTGGGGATACTAAGATGTAAAAAGATTTGAAAGGCAAATTGCCCTGAAATTTAGGGCTTATTATACAGTTGAATGTGAAGGACAAGACAAATGGGGAAGCATCAAAGCTTCCCAGATTTCTGACTTGTTGAACTCGTTGTATAGTAGTTTATTTGTGGTTTCAGTAGGGAATCAGGAGAAACAGGTTTCTCGTGAGATGGTGGTAGGGCACTCAGTAGTAGTGATGTGTTGGGAGAGCTGTAGATAATTAGTTCTTTTGGACTTAATGAATTTCAAATGCCTAAAAAACAAGTGGAGGTCTTCTTCCATGTGTGCATCAAGTGTTGGCTGCATCTCCAAGTGTAAGAGCTGGGAAAATCAATAAGACCTAGGATCCTAAATCCTGGATTCACTGCCTATTATGTCTACCAAAACTGATTAATCATATGACCTTCCTCATTCAGTTAATACACCTTAATAAAAAGAATATTTTCAGGAAGAGACAAAAGAATATTTAGTTGACAGATTTATAAATTATGTTTTTCCACTTTTTTTCACTTAGGAATATTTTTTCAAGTAAGGCTTTTAAATTTAGCTTTCTTGAACTGTAATTTATGTAAAATATAATTCACCCATTTTAAGAAAAGAGTTTGACAAATGTATGCAGTCTTGTAACCAATACTACAATCTGGAACTAGAACATTTTTATCACCCAAAAAAGGTCACTTGTGCAGTTTTGTAGTCGGTCCCAACTCCAGCCCCAGGCCACTGCTGATCTGCTCTCTGACACCATAGTTTTGCCTTTTCTAGAATGTCATATAAATAGAATCATACACTCTGTAGTTTTTTTCTACCTTCTTTAATCCTTTTGAGTTTTATTCATGCTGCTGCTTATAACAATAGGTCCTTTTTATGGCTGTGTAATTTCGCTTTTATGGATATACAAGTTGTTTATCCATTCACCAGTAATAAGAGTCCTTGGGTTTGTTTCCAGTTTTAGGCTATTAAGAATAAAACTATTGTGAACATTTACATATAGCCCTTTGTGGGGACATATATTTCTATTTCTTTTGACTATGTACCAAAGAATGGAATTGCTGGATCATCGGTTAAGTGTATTATTTTACATTGTAACAGACTGTTTTCTAAACTGAATTTACCATTTTACATTCCTAGCAGTAGTATCTGAGAGTATCAGTTCCTTCATCTTCTCATCAACACTTGGTATGGTTGAGCTTTTTTTTTTCTTTATTAAGGTATCATTGATATACAATCTTATTAATGTGTCAAATGAGCAACATTGCGGTTACTGCATTTATCCCTATTATCAAGTTCCTCCCACATACCCCATTACAGTCACTGTCCATCAGCATAGTAAGATGCTATGGAGTCACTACTTATCTTCTCTGTGCTATACTGCCTTCCCTGTGCCCTCCTACATTATATGTGCTAATCATAATACCCCTTAATTTCATTCTCCCACCCTTCCTGCCCACCATCCCCACCCCCTTTCCCTTTGGTCTAGTCCCTTCCTGGGGTCTGTGAGTTGCTGCTGTTCTGTTCCTTCAGTTTTTGCTTTGTTGTTATACTCCACAGATGAATGAAATCATTTGGTACTTGTTTTTCTCTGCCTGGCTTATTTCACTGAGCATAATACTCCCTAGCTCCATCCGTGTTGTTGCAAATGGTAGGATTTGTTTTCTTCTTATGGCTGAATAATACTCCATTGTGTATATGTACCACATCTTCTTTATCCATTCATCTACTTTCTTCTTATGGCTGAATAATACTCCATTGTGTATATGTACCACATCTTCTTTATCCATTCATCTACTGATGGCCACTTAGGTTGCTTCCATGTCTTGGCTATTGTAAATAGTGCTGTGATAAACATAGGGATGCATGGTCTTTTTGAATCTGGGATTTGTTTTCTTCAGGTAAATTCCTAGGAGTGGAATTGTTGGGTCAAGTGGTATTTCTATTTTTAGTTTTTTGAGCAACCTCCATATTCCTTTCCACAATGGTTGAGCTAATTTACATTCTCACCAGCAATGTAGAGGATTCCCCTTTCTCTGCATCCTTGCCAGCATTTGTTGTTCCTTGTGTTTTGGATGTTGGACATCATAACTGGTATGAGGTGATATCTCACTGTGGTTTTAATTTGCAGTTCTCTGACAATTAGTGATGTGGAGCATCTTTTCATGTGCCTGTAGGCCATCTGAATTTCTTCTTTGGAGAAATGCCTGTTCAGATCCTCTGCCCTTTTATTAATCAGGTTATTTGCTTTTTGAATGTTGAGGCATGTTCTCATTTTTGTTCTGCTGATAGTGTCCTTTGCTGTAGAGGAGCTTTTTAGTTTGATGTAGTCCCATTTGTTTATTTTTGCTTTTGTTTCCCTTGCCCAAGGAGATATGTTCAGGAATAAGTTGCTCATGTTTATAATCAAGAGATTTTTGCCCATGTTTTCTTCTATAAGTTCTTTGGTTTCATGACTTACATTCAGGTCTTTGATCCATTTCGAGTTTACTTTTGTATATGGAGTTAGATATTAATCCAGTTTCATTCTCTTACATGTAGCAGTCCAGTTTTGCCAACACCAGTTGTTGAAGAGGTTGTCATTTCTCCATTGTATATCCATGGGTCCTTTGTCATATATTAATAGGCCATATATGTATGGATTTATACCTGGACTCTCTGTTCTGTTCCATTGATATATGGGTGTGTTCTTGTGCCAGTAACAAATTGTTTTGATTACTGTGGCTTTGTAGTAGAGCTTAAAGTTGGGGAGCGTAAGTGCCCCTGCTTTATTCTTCCTTCTCAGGATTGCTTTGGTTATTTGGAGTCTTTTGTGGTTCGATATGAATTTTAGAACTATCTGTTCTAGTTCATTGAAGAATGCTGTTGGTATTTCAATAGGGATTGCATTGAATCTGTAGATTGCTCTAGGCAGGATGGCTATTTTGACAATATTAATTCTTCCTATCAATGAGCATGGGATGTATTTCCATTTATTGGTATCTTCTTTAATTTCTCTTATGAGTGTCTTATAATTTTCAAGGCATAGGTCTTTCACCTTCTAGGTTAAGTTTATTCCTAGGTATTTTATTCTTTTTTGATGAAATTGTCAATGGAATTGCTTTCCTGATTTCTCTTTCTGCTAATTCATCATTAGTGTATAGGAATGC